GATCAATCAATTATTTTAGTTTTTTTATTTTCTGAAATGTATTTTTTATTTCTAATAATAGTTTTTTAATTTCTTCTAAATTTCTTTTTAATCCAATCTCTAAATAAATAAATAAATAAAAAGAATTCTTAATTCATTTTAGAAATAAAGTAAATTTAAATTTCTACCGTAATACTATTTTTCCTTTAAAAATACTTATTTTTCTATTCCTTAAAATAGCCACAAATTTTCAATTACAAAATGTTTTTCATTGTGGAAATTTAATTCTACAAAAAATTTTTCTTATAATTAAATATATTATTAATTATAAATCCATCTATTTATGATGAAATATAGAAACTAAAATGGTTGGTTCCATTAAATTATATGAAGCATTTTTGTGGATGGTCCAACAATCCACAAATTATTATTAAAACAAAAATTATCCCCATAGCATGATTTTGGATTTATCAGTTACAGTTATCTACTTAATTGGAAAAAATATTAACAGTATTTCATTTTTCAAACTTGGAATTCCTTCATTATAACCCTCATATATCATATCCATTTCTTAAATTCATACTAAAATATTATATTATTTTATATTTAAATAAGAATCAATAGTAATAGAAATTATTTTTTTAAATAAATAAATAATGAATTGTACTTATCATATTAAAAATCATGTATCATTTATATGTATAGATACTCACAGGTGTTAATATTAAAGAAAACTGTGCGCTGAATGCCTTTCTAAACATGAAGTGAATTTTAACAAACAAGCAGTTCCAATTGATAGATTTGAAGAAAGGGTTTTAAACAAACTAAAAGAATTTAAACTAAATGAGACAACTGAGTTTACTAACTACAGAATGAATTATAAATATATGGTCTCTTAAATTAAAAGTTTCATGAAAAAAAAATGGGAAGATTTAATGAAATTAATAAACTAAATTTTTGATTTGATTGAACAGGAAAATAAATCATACATAAACCTTTTTAATTTTGCGACATCTTCTTATACTGATTTAGAAAATTAGTATAAATTTTAGGAGGAAACACATTAAATTTATGGAATGCTTAGAAAAACTTATATAGCAAAAAAACAACCAATGTAAAAAAATAAATGAGGTATTAAAATAGCATCAATGATTACAAATTTTTCGGAAAGTATTTAATAAACTTAAAATAGGCAAAGAAATAGTTAGGTTTAGAAGTTACTGCTTTTAACGAAAAGTTAAAAAGAGAAATGAATTAATTCAATTTAATTGGTTAATCTAAGTTATTAGTAATTGTAATTAAAGCAAGAATATGAAATACAAATTAAAATTAAGCTATTTACTTATGAAATAGTTAAAGAGAATTCCATTTAACAAAATTAAGTTAGTTGGGCATTTGCTTTTAATAGAGATTGCTCAATTGTAGCATCTAATTGTGACAAAATAATAAAAATATTTGAATTTAGATAAGGAATGTTGAAATAAATTCAAGTCTTAAATAAACATAAAAATGAAGTGAGCATTTTAAATTTTATGAAAAATCCAATTAGTTTATATCTGGAGATTGGGAAGGATTTATGTTGATTTGGAATATTAATAATAGTAATTAATTAATTTGTTCATAAAAAGTATAAAATACAAAGGTCGCATAAATTGCCTAATTAAAAATAATAATGAGGATAATCTCATCTCAAGTTGTAATGATAAAACTATTAAGTTTTGGACTAAGCAAAATGAATGGGTCTGTTAATAAATAATCACAGATCATCAACATTGGGTGTATTAATTAAGTTAGAATGATGAATAAAATAAAGTTATTTCATGTGGATGGGATCAATTAATATTAATAATTGAATATTCAGAATAAAATAAAAAGTGGATTGTAATATAAAATATTAAAGTTGATTGTTAAGGAATGCGATTATGCTTTATTAACGATAATCTTTTCACATTTTAACCTCATAAAGGTAATTCATTGCTTATCTATGAGATGAAAAGTGTTAATAAATAGTTTATTAACACTAAACATGTTACTCTGGATCCAGATGATAATGATGGTGTTGTATTCTTTCCATAATAATATATAAAATCAAAATATTATTTGTAGGTAAACATAATAATATCAATTTAATAAGAAAGTCAGAAAATGGAGAATTTAAATTTGAGTATTCTATTAAATTTGGCAATATAAATTTATTCGGGTAAATGAGTGATAATGGAGACTATTTGATTACTTGGAAATTCATCAAAAGAGATCTAAATATGGAAATACATAGAAAAATGAGTATTTTAAAAATATTTATATATAATATTTAACAATAACCAATTTATTTTAAGATTTTTTTAAGTTTAGACTATGTTGATAAAAAACTAATTATTAAAATAGTTTTAAAGATAGGAATCAACAGATTTGCAAATAGATAAAAAGAAATTCTTAGTTATAATTTAGTAAGAGCAAGTAAATAAAGAATTTCTAAGCATTAAAAGGCTTATTTTAAGCTAATGAAAAATAAAGAAAAAGAATAGGAATTATAAGAATAATATAGATGAAATAGAAGTCTTGGGGTAGGCTATTCTATATTAAAACAATAGAATCGAAAAAATTTAATATAAATTACAAAATAATCACTTTTGTTAATAGAATGAAAATTAATGATTTTTAATTAGAATATAAGTATTATATTATTAATTTATATATTTGATAGAGGAATGGTAAGATTCAATAAATTTAAAAGCTCTAAAAAGTTGATTTGTATTCTTAGAATCTATCTTTTAATTTAAATTTAATATGTTCCAGAATATATCCATTCATAATAGAATCGCTTAAATTTGAAGAAGAGTAATTATCTTGAGTAAAATTATTTTTATCCTTTACTATTTCATTAAACACAACTTAACAACCTTTTTTTTCTTCGAAATTTCAGAAATCAATTACCAAAATTAAATGATTTATTTTTACCAAAACTTTCTTTTCTATAAAATATGATATGTGAGTAAAAATTATATCTAAATCCATTCCTAATTTTGCATTTTTTTGGATTAAAAATGTACTTAATGTCTTACAGAGTTAATTAGGTTTGCATTATCTAAATTTAAATTTGCTATTTTTAATAAAAATATAAAAAGAAAAGCAATCTGAATTTTTTTCATTTTTAAATTAAATAATAAAATTTTTACTATTCAATCAAAAATCTATTAAAATACAAACATCTTTTATATTTAAATTATCAATTTTTATTATAGCATAACTCTGCTCAATTATCCTCTTCAATTAATTGGAGTAAATCAATTTTTGGTAATGAAACTTGTGATTTAGAAATGCTCGCACAATCAATTAGAAAATCATTAATTAATAATTAATCTATCAAATTATTTATCTATGTGTAATCTTTAGTAAGAGAAACATTAATTTTCTATGTATTTAAGTGGTGGAGGCAAGAGAAAATTATGTTTGGATATTACTTTGATTGGAAATTCTTAAGTTCTTCTTTTGAATGAACCTACTACTAACAAATATAGAAGATATTGAAACGAATCAAATAAGATCGATGTATTATATTAACTACTCATCATTTGAAAGAAAATTAAGAACTTTAAGATTATGTTGGTATCATTTACCAGGGTAAAGTGACTATTTTTGGAACAGTTGATTATATAAAAAAACAATTCTCAGTAGGATATATATACTAGTTGAATGTAAAAATGGATTGCATTAAAAACAGATCTTAGATTAGAATTAATCAAATTTACAATAAATATGTCAAAATGAAATCAATTTTCTTTCTTAAAATAGAAATCTTAAGTTAAATATCCCTTTAAGTAATAGTAGAAATATTGCTACTGCTTTGAAATATTTGGAAACAGCAGAAAATATTAATATATAATTTGAATTGACAACACTTGAAGATGCTTTAAATTGCATGGATTTTTATATTAGGATTTGTTTCCTGCTTTCATACTATTAATCAAAGTATCGTCATGGGAAGCTATGCTTTGATCAAGTTAATAATGATCAACTAGCAATCCTCAATATTTCTATTAACTTGTTATACTTTTTGAATAGTTTCTATTTTTAATAGTTTTTCTAATAACTCAATAAATAGGTAGATATAAATAAGACAATTTTTTAGTTTATTTCAGAATGATATAAATAAATACAATATTTTCAATTGCACTTAATTATCATAGTCGTCATTGAAATTTAAAAACTTAAAAAAAGAATATTTCAATTACAAATTATGAAACTCAAAAAGATGAAGTTGATTTCAGAATATTTAATCAACTCTTAGTTGGATGTGCTTTAATTGGAAGCCTTATATTATAGGCTTTCAAGTTTTTGGTTTCAACTATCTGCCTCTTCATAGTTCCCTCCTTATTTAAGCTATAAGTAAAAATTTTCAACAGGACATAAACATTTAAAGAAAAAGAAATTTTTAGAAAATAAATGATTAAACAGAATTTTAATCTTTTCCATAAGAAGATATTTTATAACAAGCATAATATAAGTTTAATTTAAAGATATGGTGAATGAAATCATATTTATTTCAAAGCAAAAATTGATCAAATAAAAATTACGAATACTTTCTTCTTTAGTTATGGAAAATAAGAATATTCATTTTAGAGCCCTAATAATAAGAAGATTCGAACTCATCATAAAAATAGAGATCTTTTAAAATAGATTGTATGTTAATTTAAAAACCACCTATAAAATTTTAAAATACAAGAAGATTTATTACTAGAAATCATTTTGAATTTTACGTCTTATTGAAAAGGAATTTACTTCTGAATTGTAACATTAATACCAAATAATTCGGTTTAATTACTATTTTGCATGTATTCTTGGTAGATAAAACACTTAAGGTTTTCAAACATTCTTACTTTCAATTTTTTTATAAATAGAAGGAAAAATTAATGCTAAATAGTACAAACAACATCTTTATTTTTATTATTTAAAATAATAATTTAGAGTTATTATTATAAATTAACATTTTTTATATAACAAATTATTAAACATTCAATTTTTCTCTAAATTAATGCAATTGACTGTTGATTGATTTAAAAATAGAAAAAAAACATCCAAAATTTGGATTGTCACATAAAAATAACAAAATAATAAATACTTTTTAAAGTGTGTCTCTGTTTAAAGGATTGAACATTGAAAATGCAAAATATCTAATTTTGTGTGTAAAAGCATTTACGAAATTCAAATTTTATATATTAGCCTTAAATAAGTAAATAAAAGCAAAAATTATTCAATACTACAAAATAAATTCAAACCCGAATTCTTCCAAGATTTTATCATTTATATATTTTTAGGATTTAAAAAAATATATTATTATAATTTATATGTCTTAAGAATATATAATTTAAATTTTAAATATGATAAACGATAAATCATCCTCTCTAAAAGTTGTCGTTTTCATCATTTAAGGCTAATTCTAATTTTTCTCTTAAGATTTCTTCAGAATCATAAGCTGGAATTACTAAGCGATTGAAACTTTGTAAAATACTATAGAATTATACCATGTATATGCCTCAGGAAATTTACAATTGATATCAGTTATATGATCTCTAATTAAAATTTCGATTGGTCTCACTAAATCTTAAAATCCTCCAGCTGGTACAAGGTTAGTACCTAGAGATGCTTTAATATGTTACCTGTAACAAAATTTACAAACCTAGCTAGCATATCTTAATTGAAAGTTCTTAANTAATAATAAGAAGATTCGAACTCATCATAAAAATAGAGGTCTTTTAAATAGATGGTATGTTAATTGAAAAACCACCTATAAAATTTTAAAATACAAGAAGATTTATTACTAGAAATCATTTTGAATTTTACGTCTTATTGAAAAGGAATTTACTTCTGAATTATAACATTAACATCAAATAATTCGGTTTAATTACTATTTTGCATTTATTCTTGTTAGATAAAACTTTTAAGGTTTTCAAACATTCTTACTTTCAATTTTTTTGCAAATAGAAGGAGAAATTAATGCTAAATAGTATAAACAACCTCCTGGTTTAATTTTATAAGTTCAAAATCCTTGCAAATTATAAATATTTTCCTAAAATGGTACAATTGGTGAAATTTCAATTCATCCTTGGATGTTTTAGCTTTAAGTAGAAATTTAAAATCTGTTGTTAAGTATAATTAAATAAATTAGACTTATATTCATAAAATTTGAAGTTCTTCTGTAGTGAAAGTGATACATTTGATCTAAACTGTTTAAGAATTTTATTTAATCTGTAACATCATATACAATTATCAATAAAATGAAAATATATTTTTGAAAATACATTTTACTTTTAGATATTTTATTAATAAGTTATCATTAATTCCACATAAGTATTAATTCTAACTCTATATCTCTTTTAGATATCTCTATTCTGAATTAAGACAACAATATAAAAACTTCATTTTATATATTAATTGCTAGCTAATGCTGATAATAAATGGAATATAAAAACGCTTAATTTATTAAAATGTTATATATGATTTTCAAATATTTATTTAACAATTATAGAAATCAAACTTGGATAATAAAATTCTGGATTTTAATTATTAGGATAGAAACAAATATATGGAATGCTTTGACACTTTATTTATATTTATATCTGATTTGAGTACATAAAAATCATTTTACTTGTAAGCACTACAGATTTGTAAAATTAAGCAGTCTTACATAATAGCTTTTGCAAAAATCTTTCCAATAAATTCAAATTTATTAAGATGATCATCATCATCTAATTCCGTATTAATCTCATAAAATGATCTATTAGGAGTATGTATAAATAATTAATGTTATGGTACTACGAATTCCTATGTAAGAATTTTAAACCAATGCCTTCTTAGACCTCCAAGATCTTAAGCTTTTTGTCCAACAAAATTGATGGCAAAATCTCTATTAAGTTGATTAGTATCCAAATTTCTAATAAATCTGTATGAATCTTAAAAAACTGTATCCATATTTATTTAGATTAAGAGCTCATCTCTTAATCTTATTTAATCAATATTATTCCTAAAATAATTTTCTTAACTTCAAAAGTGATTATATTAGAATGCTATTTAAAAAAATATTCTAGAAAACTTCTTTTTCTTAAATTACAGTTTATCCCTTCTAACTTTGACATAGTAGCTTTTATATTTCTATTTGCTCTATTATAATACTTGTTGATATAATCTTTACCATCCTAATCAAGTTTTTTGAATAATTTTTTAAATTCAAAATCATTGTGATCTTATTAAGAATAAATACTAGAAATAATTTTTTCTATGTTTGTCCAGAATTTTTGAAATTCAGACGTTTCCTAAATCTAAAGCCAATGCTTTTTTAAGTTAGGGTTTGCATTTTTCTAATTATATTATAAATGATAAATAAGTTAAAATATTTTCTTTATTCCATTTCCTTAAACTGTAATTTAATCATTTGTATCATTTTATTTATGTGATTATCTATATTCTATACTACTTGTTCTAAATCTTTCTTAATTAGTATTTTAAATCTCATGATATTGTCATCATTTTTGAAAATAATTGATATAAACTTAATTAATTACTAAATTCTTTAATTTTTGTTCTCTTACTTGAAGGCTCAAATCGTTAAAAATTAAATTTTTTTATATTTTATTCATTCTTTATGAAGTTTCGGAACACTTTTAAAAGTAATTCTAAATTGTTGTCCTGCTTCCACCAAAATAATAAACAAGTCACAATTTTGAAGTTTTAAGAGGATAAATTATTTTTTAAAGTTTTTTCTACATTTAATAAAGTTGATAAAATTTTGGGTGAAATAAACTTCAAATAATAATTAAAATCATTTACTATCAAAGTTCTCGTAACAATAAACATATCTTTGTCAACATTTTGTTTTTTTATTATGATCAATTTATTAATAAGATAATCAATTATTTAATTGGCTATTGAAGATGAATTACTTAAATTCATCAAGAAAGAATTTATTAAGTCATCAAAATTATCATCTACCTATAAAATTTTTGTAACAAGTTATAAAAATTAGTCATTGACGAAACCTAATAATTTTAGTGTCTATTTCCTGTCATTCTGAACAGATTTTATCTTATTTTGTATTTGAGTGTATGATGCTACCCAATTTTAATCATCTAATTATTAGAAATTATCTTTATGATCAATATTTAAAATCTGAACCTTTGAGTTTAAATATAATTCATTTTACCAAAGTCTAGTACTAGACCAAATAGGTAATTCAGTTTAACCTGGCAATATTTTTTTAAATTAGCTTAATAATTGTTAAAATTATTAAGGTAATAATTGTTAAAATTATTAAGGTAATTAAATCTTGAAATCTATATTAAAATATCCAGAATTACAAAGAAATTCATCTTTTTTATCATCCATATGATAATTTTTGAATTTATTAATTTCTAAATTATTTTTATTTGAAGTTAAATTTTATTTGACCTAATAATTTTCATCTACATCTACCCAATTAATTGATTCTTATTCTATTGCTTCAGCACAAATTTCATATTAATTTTCATAATTTTCAATTTTCATTAATTAATTACATGAAATTTCTTACTCCTCTTCCATCTCAGCGTCATCAAATAATTTTCCATTTTTAATTGTTAATAGAGGCCATTTTCAAAATAGAAGCTTAACTATATTAATGTTTTGTTTTACTCGATCTTGAAAATGTAACATAAAATTTGAAAATATTTAATGATTGATCTCTGCTGAACTCATTTAGAAAGAATTAACTTAAATCGGTTCAGTTTTATCTAAAAGTAAATTTATAGCAACACTATAAAGCATATTTAAAGTGTTAAGAATGAAAAATAATTGATTTTTGTAAATAAAATGTTATTTAATATCGAAATTTTTAATCCCCTCTATATAAGTTTTAATAAAATTAAATGAGTTTTAAGGGTCGTTAATATTTTGAATACAAATTTTTGCAACAGATTTTATTTACAATAAATTCATTAAAATATTAGAAAACTGACATACTTTGTCATCTAAAATTTTAATAGATTTACTAAGCTCAACAAATAACTCCTTATTATTAATCTTCTAATATCATATGCAAAAGGAACAATTACATTATCAGATTTCCTATAAATAACTAAATTATCCAAACATATATAAAATATAAAATTATTAGATGGGTTTATAAACTTGTTATTAATGTTAGGAATGAAATTTTAGAAGTGATTTTTGAAGAATCAATTCCACTATAATATTTTTCTAGAAAGTTGCTACAATAAATTTTTAAGAGATATGGTAAAAGTATTGGAAATTTTTAAATAAGTAGCTATAAAACATCAAATATAGTATTCCAATGATATTGATATTGATATTGTTAATTATTTTAAAAATAAGATTCTATAATTTGTTAAACTAAAAGTCTTAGAAGAATTTATGTTTCTTATTTAGGTTTGAAATTAACTTGTAAGATTGGATTTCCATTTGTACTGATACAATTTAATGTATTAAGAGCAATACCTTTTTTTAAAATTAAATTTTCATCATTTACTTATTCTTCAAATAATTAATTCATTATATA